CAGCACCAACCTTAGTTTTTCCCAGGAGTTCTCCCATCCAGGTACTGACCAGGCTCACACCTGCTTAGCTTCAGTGGGTTGCCAGTTGTGAGTTCCAGGATGATATGGCTGCTGCTTGACACATTAATGCATGGTGTCAAGATCAATGTTATTGTGACTGTCCTATTATAAAAATGTGTTGCACATGAAGAGAATAATTGGAAAAATAATAGGATGTGGAAACATAAAATCAGTCTCAAGAACAAATGCAGATATTTGGTACAATCATTCCTCCTTATATACTGGGGAATATGTGAATATTAGGGAATTGAGTAGAGTGCCTGTTGCCTGTGTTGAGCAGAGAGCTAGTTTTGCTAGGGGAAATAGAGTGCAGAGTCAGAGGGCAGAAGTGGAAAACAAAAAAAGACAACAAGTGCAAGCAGATCAAAGTCCACACATACTGTATAAGTAGTGCAAGTGGTAACTGCTAAGGTCAGTCATTTTTATTACTTTTTTAAGTTTTGTGTGTCTAGAGCTATGTCACACTGATTATCTTTAATAAAGATAAACAAAGCTTTCCTTGCTTGTTTACTTTAATGTAAGTACAAATTATAAGTCTGTTTATGCTTTCTAGTGAAATGGTTTAACTTCATTATTGATATCAAATTTTGGTCATTTTCATTTTATGGTATTCATCCACTTAAACATGTATTGCTCTTTGATTCTAGGTGACACTGTTCCAGTCTGTGAGTGATCCAGGAAAAACAGAGGAAATATTTTCATTCTATGTTGACCCCTCAGTCAGTAACCTCACTCTCTACATCACAGGGAGCTTCCTCAACTTCAAACTGCAAAGCCCTGCAGGTAAAAATAAAACTAGCATTTCATCTCTGCCCAGTACAAAAGGCACCAGCTCAATTCTGATCTCTACAAAGATGGGGATTATTAGGAGGCCATGATTGGTAAGGGCTAGGCCAGGGAGAAATTTGACCAGGACCAGGATAAGACATCTACTCTTTTTGAGAAATTACCTGAGAATATTTTATGACCATGGAGAGTCAGGACCTTGGTTTTACATCTCATTCATAGGACCACACAAGTTTTCACTAGTTTCCCTGGCACTCAGGCACTTAGGTACAGATCATAAGATGAGGGCTTCCTTCTGGTCCCACTAACAACCCTTCCAGCAGCAACCTTAGCTTTCCTGGGAAATTTTCAATCCAGATACTGACCAGGCTCACACCTGTTTAGTTTAAGTAATGTTATGGTTCCACCATCTTGCCACCAGAGGGCACCCCAACCTATGGTGCCTGCTCTTACTGTGCAGCAGAGGTGCAGAGCAAGCAGATGTCAGTAACTAATCCTTGCTTGCCTAGTGCATACCCTCAGTACGACTTGGTGACCCTAACTCACCATTCCTCCCGTCATAAAGCCTACTTAAATCCTGCTCATGGTTCAAACAGTGCTTAGTATTGTTGTCATTACTCTGAGCTCTAGCCTTTGCTACATTCTTCTCTTGTTCCTGCATTTGTCTCCTACTCCTGTTTACTTCCCTGTTCATCGTTTACCTTATCTTTGTCCTGAGATTTGTCTGCTTGTTCTTCCTGGACTCCTAACCTGGTTTTTGGATTTTGGCCTGTTTCTTGACCTTGATTCTACACTCTCATTCTGGCTCTGGATTCTCGTTCACCTCTAGACCCTGGCCTTGGATTTCCCTCAGTCACTGTCTTGGAGTTTTGTGACCTTTGTGAGCAATCTAGAATGTGTGTCAAGACTTGTCTTAGTTTTAAGCAATGTGAGGTAAATTGTGGTATGTTTCTGCATGCTGCATTTAGCACTTCACTGTCCAAAGATCAATAGGTGGCAGCTTTGGTGCGTTGGATGTTAGTGAAATGGCAGATTCATTTAAGCTGCTTTAATATGTAATATGAATAATATTAATGTGGACTTGGGTAATGGGAAATAAAAATAACTGGAAAATAATATTCCCAAATCTTATTTATAATATTAATGTATTAATATTAATAAAATATATTTATAGCTGCTGGGTGGAGCTAAAAATAAATGCTTTCATGAGCTCTTGCTGTGTAGTTGATTTCACATCTGTCTTTGGAGGAGTGCCATCATATCAGGAGATTCTGCTAGTGTTTTCACCCAGTTTACTACCTCTGATTTAATAAAAAAAGATTGATATATTTGACATTTTAGATTTTAATTGAAAAAAATATAGATAGTGGCTTTAAGATATTATCAATAATACATGTAAAAAATCTCAGTTGTGATTTCTGTTTAAAGACATCTTTAAATTCCCTTACCCTTTCCAAGTATCCCAAAGATTGTAGGTCTGGTGGTCAAGTAGTCTGGTGGTCAAGTAGTTTGCTTTACCTTCCCTTTAGGAAGTTTCATTTGTTTCCTTTTTTTCCCTACAGCCTGTATCTAATTTTTTTTACAAAAGACTACAAAATAGTTATTGTGTTAAATTAAATGAAATTATATTTAATTATTAAAGCCAATTACAATTTTGATTCATCTAATGATTCCATTACTGTTGGGTCCTGAAGAAGACCAAGATTTTGTACAAGTTGACCACTACAAACTTCTATATTAAATCCCTGAATCAGATGCAGGAAAATACCCAGGGCATTGCACAGACTGAAGAGTATCACCCAGTACTTGGGATGCAGCCCAAGTTGTACACTTCCACAGACTGAAGTTTGTAAAAATGTAAGCTTGGCTGGCCTTCTCCAGCAGTGAAAGAATGACCAACATGGATACCGATTCTTTCAGAATTGATAGCCAGATGAATTCCGATTTCAGATTTTCCTGGATGCATTCTTTCAGGAGAAAACCTGGCAAAGAGACAGGATATGTTTCCCAGTAGCTGTCTTTGTTATTACTGTTTAGCCCCAGTCAAGTGACAGCCAGTGGTGTGGTGGGGAATGTTTGCATGAAACAGCCTGGTTTATTGTGGATATGGAAATGGAAATACAAAGAAGATAGATGTAACTGAAGAGATTTGATTAGACAGAGGATCCAAAGTTGCTCGGAGTTGCAGACAGGCACAGCTGGAGTCGTCCTAATGAGTGTCTGGTGGATGAAGTGACATAGACCAGGGTTGCTAGCAGCAGGATGAGAAGCAGGACAGGACTGGAAACTTTAAAGTTAACAGGTGGCAGGCTGAGAGAGCCACCAGTCAGGGTTGTGTGTAGCACCAGTCAGGGTTAAGCTCCTTGTGTGAATTCAAATGGTCTCCGATGAGACTGAGGGCTGAGAGTCTTTAATATCTCAAAAGGGCAATTTGTGAAAGAAAGTACAGCTTGTGCATTGGTCAGAAATCAGACCCAGGCCTCCTGTGTGGCAGATGAGAATTGTACCACTGAACTGCCAAAGTGTCACTCTGATTGAATGATTGTGTGGGATACTGAGAAATGTAGTTTGTTACCTCATTTATTTAGTGTCACAAGCTAAATTAAAACTGCCAGTGTGGGTTTATTAGTTTATTCATCAGAACTGCCTTTCCCTTACACTGAAAAGAAATAATATATAATAAATATATAA